GGATTCGAACCCGCGACCCTCAGATTGTGAGTCGAGCGCCCTAACCACCTGGCCATGCCGGGCCTTAAACAATGTAACTGACACATAACTTGATAATTGTCAATAAATATTTTCACATGATTAACATGTTGTTTTTTATTTGAACACTGATTAACAGTAGAAAACTTATAACTGAGCTTTTCCCAAGAACACTATCAAAGTACTTTCAGTAAGTTGATTGATACACATTAGTATCTTATTACTACGGCTCGGGTAATGATGGAAAACTTCTGATCGGTATAAGGGGCTTTAGAGACACAACATTAAATGGAAAGGAATTAGTAGTCCTTTACTGGTTGGCTAAAACTACAGAATAATTGGCTGGAGGAATTTATTAATCTGGAGGTTGTCACTTGCATGTAATCATGCCCTGAATTTATGAACACCACCAAACCTTTTGTGGAATCCATATAAATATACATGAAATAGCAATGTTTCTTGTTCAATTAATTTATAAACTTACCTGTGGAAGAGGTTTACTAATGCTTGTTGCTTGAGATAAGTTTGGAATTGAAGCATACTCTTGAGGAGAGCCAGGCCCGGAGTCTGACTTCTTATTTCCATTTTCTAAAGTACACACACACACAAAAGAAAAACAAAAGGATTTTTCATAGAGCCTCCTACTAGGCATTCAAAATCATGAAAATACATAAATTAAGGAGTTAGAAAGTATGGAGATAAATGATTATTTCGTGTACAGTAAAACATTTTAGCTGTGAATATCTTGGACAAACCTTTCACGGGTTTACAATTTTTTTTTAAACCTTAAAATGTCTCAATCAAAATGCTGAGTCGCTCAACTAACTCAGACCTACCTATGAATCGAACCTCAGATATTAACTCAACTAAAAGCATTAATAAATCATGCCTCTCAAGCCAAACACACACACACACACAGAACTCCTGGTTCAATGTGAAATTCGTGGTGGGAGTGATCCGGAACTCTTGACCACCAAAAATCCCAGCTTGGCTAGTGTTTTTATTTAGCACAATCTTCAAGTTGACGTCTTAACGTTGTAAAATTTAAAACTTCAAATTCTTTTGAGGTATATGAAAGGTATTAATATAAATACCAGTTAGAAATAAAATAATAAAACTAATCTGTTACAGTCTATCGATGTCATGACAACATTAGCCTCCAACAACACGTATTTATTTCATATTTACGTGCTAATTGAGTACATTATCTAACTCGAAAATACATTTATTTAAATGTTGTTCAACTTTATCGTTGTTCTTTATATTAGTAGTGGTTATTTGTTAGACACGAACAAGCGCGTGCACGTACAGACTCCAACAAAGACAACGTCTATTTCCTACTTGTGAATGATGGTGTTTTCATCTTCAAGGGACATTTTTCTCTACGTCTCAGAATTTGTCTATTCCGCCTTTCTGTCACCTTTTGCTTCAGCAGAGACCGAACTTTTAGGTTTGGTTCCGAGGCTAAAAGGTAACCAAGCTACTGTACAGCAGAATCTTTCAACCCCCCCAAACATTTTACGTACAGTATGCATTCATGGTCTTTGCGTACAAAATACATTAGCTTCACGTGTTACTCAACACATACAGAACAGTGTGCTAATTTGGGTTTAGTAACAGTGCTAAGAGAGAGAGAGAAAGTGGAAAACAACCGACGTCATTAAGTTAGGTAACACTGTATATACGACTCCAAGTTTACAGGACATTAGAACAAAAATTATCGTCTTTAACATTAACAGTTGTGACCACATACCTTCCCATAATTACTTTTTAATCTGCTAATACCAATTATAACAGTTCTAGAACGATCAGTTGCTGTTAAACGTGAAAATCTATACATTTGTGACAAACTTATGAACTTAAGCTGACTAATTCAGAGCACTGACAAAAAAAAATCAAACAAAAATATTGGAATTTCTCCAATAATCAGAAAATTATCAGACAGTGCCAAAATATGAAATAATGTCTATATATATTTGGTTTAGAGGAATGTGCCGATCCAAGAAGCAAAACCCTTTAACACCATTGGCATTAGTAGAGATAATAGGTTATTATAACCGTACACGCTCATTATGATTAGCTAAAATACAGCCTAACGTACAACTTAAAAAAAAACACGGGAAAAGAGGAAGTTTTGGTTTAGAGGTTAGAATATTCAACTCACGATCTGAGAGATCGAAACTGAGTACTGAACATGCTTGCTCTTTCAGGTGTGGGGGCGTTATAATGTAACAGTCAATCCCATTATTCAATGGGGAAATAATATAGCCTAAGAGTTGGCGGTTGGTGCTGCAGGTCGGTGGATGATACAAGACTACTGCACTGTCGGATAATCCTACCACGAAGCTAACAAATAAGACGTTAATAAAGACGGCCCTCAAACTACCGACATGTTTTTATAACGTTCACCACCGATGGTGTCCAATTAAAGCTACAACATTCACTGTAAATAACTAATCAAATAATTTTCTGAAATTACCTAGTTTACATATAGGGGGATCCCAGTAGCGATTATTGGGATTAATTTCAATATTCGTGATATTGTTGTTTATATCTTTCTGGGTGACTCATATGCTATTATATAAGTGCTCTGTAACGAACGGTATCCTGGACCCACAAGCAATTTGGTGCACAAACACTTTAGAAAAATGTCTTTTAAAAAGCCTACGATATCCATTGGTAACCCGGAAAAGTGAAAACTAAAGCACATGGAAAGTTACGTCTAACGTAAGCCTACTATTAGTATTAGCACTGAATTTTGTAGTATCTTAAACAAATTAGGCCTAAGCAGATTTGCTGGCCAACAACGTGTATTACTACTTCTCTAACTGACACAGACAAGCACAGAGAGAGACGCTGGCGGTTAGTTAGGTCAGATTTAGAGTTAACATTAGTAGCGATTACAAGCCACTCAAAGTAAGAATATAAAAAATAATTATTACAATATTAGCAACATTTCCGGGATCACCACGTACGGTAGCATCAGCCAACACAACAAACAATAACATACTAGAATTTATATGTAAGCTATCGCAAGTATTCTTTTGAGATAATTTTCATGTAGAAAATTAAAAAAAAAAGTGTATGACAGTAACAGGATATTTTTATTACATTATGATAATTAGATAAAGGAAAACTATTTATTGTTATATACAACATTTTTATTTCTGAAACATTATTTGCGAAAACAAATAATAAATCATATGATTATCCTACCAAACAGTATCAGGGGCGGATCCAGACCAGGGGGTTGTGCCCCCCCTTTCAATGGCCTGCCAAATAAAAGAACCCTTAAACTTAATACAAATATCAAATCATTTAGAAAAGGTTTCATTACCTAAAATACTGCTGGATCTGCCCCTGAATATATATTTATTTTTTCCCAAATTTTTAAATTTCAACAATAACAAAACTAACTTTCAGAATATTCAAACTACCCGATGATATTCAATGTAACATAACTCTTTTTATATAATATATATAAGTATATATTTGATACAGACAATAAAAATTTGAAGATTCGTGTGTCATTTCATTCGCCCCTACATCTTCTTTTAGTCTTTTTTATTTATAATATAGTAATATTAATTTGAAGATCCGCGCGCTTCAGTCGCCCCTATATTCGTTTTTGATACTTCTGTCTAAATAAAAATAAAATAATAATTTAAAGACTCCTGCATTTCAGTCACCCTTATATTTTCTATCGGTCTTTTTATCTAAATAATTTAAATATATAATTTATGGACCCACGTGCGTCAGTCGCCTCTACATTCTCTTTCAATATTTCGTCTGAGTAAAAGATAATATACAAGTAATAATTTGAAAATCCGCGCGATTAAGTCACCCTTATTTTTTCTTTTCACGCATTTAATAAACTGAATGCCAAGTGTGTCGCATTAGATGGCGAATTTATTATTCACACTTTACCTTACGTCATTAATATAGTTCTTTTGAAGTAGAAACCAACTTGACAAAAATGTGAAATTACAGACAATATTATAACTTCAAACTCAGTATTGGACTTACCAGTTTTACGGAGAGGATACTCTTCATTATATTTTTCCAAAAGAGTGTGCCTACAAATGATGAGTAAGACGAAAAATTAAAAACTGATATCATATTTTGCCGGAGTGCATTTATGTTGTCTAAAAAAAAAAAAAAACAACAACTAGTAACGTGATAAAGGAAACGAAATTATTTTGGGTATTTAATTGTGGTAGAAGAGTTAGTGGGTAGAAGGTGTATCCCCTCCTCCAACAGGAAAATCTCGACCCAGGGACTTTCAGACCCTTGTAGCCACCTACTATTATGTAATAATAATTGAAAGATATATAATTTGTAAAATAATTATAAATAGAATAAATCATCAGTTTTTGTTCAGTGGTTTTCAAGCGTTTTACGTTTTTTTTCTTCTTTCAAACCCTTAAAGCGAATTATTATATATTGTCAAACATTGGCTAAAACAAAACAAACGTTAGAAATATAAACATAAATTTGTTAACACTTGATAACTGGGCAATATGAGGTACAAAACACAATAAGATAAAGCCTGGACAGCAAAGCGATTTGAAGTTTAATTTGAGGGGAGGCGGGTTGGGGTCCTAGGACAACATGTATTTAAAAGTTCTTATTTACATTTTTTTGTTTTTTTTAAAGAGAGTTTCTAGATAACCCTAAGTTTCTTCCGATAATACTTTTTTTTCTGCTCTGTATCTAATGAAACTAGGTTATCAACCCCAATTAAATATTGTAATTATATTTTTACCCATAAGATGTTTAGTTGAACGTAATAATAAACACTGACGGTATTTCACGATTCCAATAACAGTATTCAACAGGAATTCAGCACATTTCATTATGTCTTTTACAGATGACCTAACTCAGTAGACGTTTGTTTTAATTTAGAAAAGCAACAACGAAAGCCAGTTTGTGGTCCTTTATATACACTACAATCTGAAGAAATAGTTAATTAATAAGATGGTTTTCTCGCGATTCCTTTGTTTCGTCGTGACTTGGTGACTAATGGTGCACCAAACGTTTGTAATAGACTCACACATAGGATTTATATACGACTTTATTGTATATTTATTTGGTATTAAAATTCCCTTTTTTTTAGTTGAATCAATTAATCTATTTTTAAAACTGCTACACGACAGATGGCTCTGCCACTTTTTTCCCGTTTCAAAAAGAATATTATTGTATGTTGTTTTTTTTGTTGTTGTTGTTCTATATAAATATACTTGTATACATTGGCAGGATACTAGTCCCCTGGTGGAGTCGCGAGCAAATACCAGTCCACTGGCGGAACTAAACAGTTCATCCAGGGAGCTATGCATGGGACTAAAATAAATTACTTTTTTTTTACTTGTTTAGTAGAAACACAATACACGTGCAGTGTTTTATTTTTCTTTATTTTTTACAAGTACAGCGTGTACATGTGAAAATGAAAACATTCCTTAATGACGTAATTGCTGTAGAGCCACTCACGTGACCTTGTCACATTCCAAATAGTTCCTACGGGCATGCGCATCACGTTTGTTTGTAGTTAAGCGCAAAGCTACACAAGGGGCTATCTGTCCTCTTCCCACCGCGGGTATCGAAACCCGGTTTCTAGCGTTGTAACTCGGTAGACATGCCGCTGTGCCACCCGGGGGCGGGCATCACGTAAGAGCTTGCTTGGTCACCTAGTACGACCATTGATATCAATACATTCACTGAATTTCAAAACCTTTGTTGTTGTTTTTCTGTTATTTGTTTTTATTCTAATTGTTTATTGATTAGTAACCCAAGATTACAAATATTTTCAATTCTCGTTAACATGATATTAAACCCACCAGTTTTTATTTCCAGTTGGAGAGTTACTGACACTGCTTATCACTGCTTCTCGTTGCTTTTTGCTCAAGACAAACTCCAAAAGACGCTGTTTAACCTCATTGGAAGCAACGGCACCTGGAGGGAGAAAAACTGGATAGTTTAACCAATTGTTACGTTAAACATCTTAATATATTTGTCACGTACAAACAGATATATAGTTTTGAACTGAAGTTAACATTTGAAATATCTATCACATTGTGCTCTGCGTCACAGGGCGAACATCTAATTCGTTTTCTCGCACATTTCCCGCAGTAGCACATGAGTTGTTTTGTTACACATGGGTTATCCGCACTAGAAGATCCCTAATCTAATCGAATAGTTGAATTTTTACCGTTACTCTTATAACTCACCCACGGCCACAAAGCGCGAAGTGTTAATTTGTGGGACGCGAATCAGGGACCTTAGTTTCACAGTTCGCAACGCTTACCTGTGGGACACGCCCGGCCTTAACGCATTATGATATTTATCACATTGATTCTGTCTAGAACATACAAAACTACCTTTGAAAGAATCGCAGCAATACAGTATTATATGTAAAATAAAGAAACTTACAACAGTGTTATAAGTAAAATACAGAAACTTACAACAGTGTTATAAGTAAAATACAGAAACTTACAACAGTGTTATAA